CAGATGAACCGTTTTACAGCCTTTTCGATCTGAAGTTAAACAATATTTATTTGTTTATTCATTGATAAAAAAGTTTTCAGGTTTTTTCTGAACGAGTGCTCTAAAACTTTTGGATCGTCGTTCGCTGATCAACGACTTGCAGCAGCTATAAGTGAAAAAAATGTTCGTTTTGGCGGCCGAAGCTTTACGGTATATTCCAATGCTATACAAATTATGTTGCAGATACCGTCTCCTGTTCAGAGGGGTGAGGACATAGATGTAAAACAAATCTGCACAGGAAGCAATTGCAAGAAAGATATTTATTTCTATACAACGGATACAGTGGTGTATGGTGTGATTATGAAGAATCGGATGGGGTACCAACACCAATGCTTTGGCCCATTGTTTCATGAACGTTCTTCAAGGTAAACGTAGTGAAGAAGTGCGCAACAACAGTGTCGTTCTCAGTCAAACCACAAACTATCGACTTAATGCCCTTGCGGGCGACAGGCATATGGCGTAAATCATCTCGTCGTCACAGAGTTCGTATCACCTGCTACGGTTGGCATTATCATGTGACTGAATCATTAATATTCCTTGAAGCACCTCGTCAGCCAATCATTCATTACTTCCCCTTGGTGCAGCGCAGCCATTACCATTTTGAGGGAAAGGGATCTCTTGGATCGCGCGTTCCAAGGTGCGTGAGCTGTTTTCACGTTGAAACTTTGAAGGAGCAAGACGACTTCAGCAGCAACCAAACTTCATAGGCAAATTTACCTCGAAGAAGGCCCGTGAGAATTGGGCTGAAACGCTGGAACCGGTCAATTACTTGATGGACCACCGTGCTGTGTATAAATGAGTCGTTTGCGCTGTTTTTCAGTATGACTATCAACGCACGAATTTGAAATCTTCGAAATTCTTGTTTACCATTTTGAAGAAGGTTTCGCATTGTGGTCCACAGAGCTTTTCACTAATATATATTACGAGGTCAAATTAAATGGCTTATACAAAAGATCGCCTGCCAAATATATAGAGTCAGAAACGTGGCCACAGGTTTAAGACTGACAGTGACCGCCAATTGGCTCCCACACAGCTTGTGCAGAATGAAAGTTCCAATGCGGTCTCTCTGAAACGGTTTCATAGATTGTCTGAAGCGATTCTCGAGATAGATATATTCCTTAACGTTTTAGAAACTAGATGTGTAATTGACGGTCAGAATTGCATGCATGGGGTATTCTCCCTCGCTATTAGCTTAACCGCTTTGTCAGTCAGTTAGTCGGTTGGTTGGTCACTCGGTCAGTCAGTCGGTTAATTTCGATGGCAGCTTCTTCTTTTGGATTACGGAGGTAGCAGCGTCAGGCTGTGCTCCCAACATTCCCGATCTCAAAGCTTTGGAAGAAGAAAACCCGAGTCTGGGGCAGAGTCCGTCGAGGTACATCCATTCAACACATCTGACGTAAATCTGTCTAAGCGACTGATACGGTGATACTTAACTGTCAGTCCTGACTTGAAGGATTCGGGTCCCACTATAAACTTCTCCTTTAGGGCAGTGCGATGAAACTTCGCGCCATTTACTCATCAGGCAGATTATTGTGTTCGGCTCGCACTGGACATCGTAGGTGGTGTGCTTTATCCTGTTGGAATATTTCACGAGTATCACGCACGAAGCGAACAATCTGTCTTAAGGGAGTAGCTACAGTACGTCCCCTTGTCGCATTTGCGGATGTATCAGTCAGCTATGCTAAATGTTAGTGCTGCTATATGATACATCAGTTTAGAGTTTACTTGCAGAGTTCAAATGTCATATTCGTGAATGGCGCCATCGACCCGTGGCATGTTCTTAGCATCTCGGCAAACGTCAGCAGTGGTGTAACTGCTATCTTCATGAACGGTACGTTTTTGTGTTATGCAACGTTGTTGCGCGTACGAACTCAGGTGACTAACCCTTAATGGTGTAGTCGTACTGCATATCCTTTCTCATCTTTTTTTGCATGTACTTGCCCATTACGACACGGTTATTCATAATTAATTCATGTTATTAATTTGTGATAACTTTAAACTTAACTTGTATTTGTCCCAAAAGTCTCATCAGTAGAATCTTGCTAGTGGCTGGTTGCTTTATGGATGAATGATTGTCGATTACCACCGTGGCAGAACAAAATACAACTGAATGTCTGTCAAATTAGGAGGCACTCCTTAATTTGAGAGGAGTAGCGCAAAAGTAATACCAGGTAGAATCTGGGCAGTCACATGACCCATTGATATAGTAACAGAATAGATAAAACAGTAACCACAAATGATAAATACGATGAACAAACACAATTGCAAAGGAAGAACGAATGGATTGACGGTTTTAATTTCAGTACGTCAAAGAATCATATCTAAGTACTTTAGTTGTCAGAATAGGATTGACTCAAACTGATTCAGACTAGAGCGTTAGGCCTTCTGTAGAGCTAGAGTCATCTTCGCGATCATTCACTGTCAGTACAGTTCAGTTGTGTATGAACGCAAACATATGTAAACAACGCAGACGAGACGACGAAGTACGTTTTAATTGAGTTTGGTCGAGAAATGGAGAGGATCATTTAAAATAGATATTTTAGATTTATTATAGGTCTTCCAGTTTGACCTACAATTATGCTTAAGAAATTCATTTAACACAGTAGACATCCTAGTCAAGTTTCAAATTATTAGAGGTTTTCCCACCTCCTCTTTCTGCTGGAGAAGA